AAAAAAAAAAAAAAAAAAAAAATTTCACTAATATTACCAGTTAAACTGTGCCGAAGGATGTCATCTCCTAGTTTTTGGTCTCTAAATCTCTAACGCGTCTCTACTGAGAAATTCCATGTTCGAAAGCGGGTCTTTCAGAGGAACGTGCTTTGTTCTAGTATGTACACGTTAGAGTGATGATGAAAAAAAAAAAAAAAAAAAAATCATCGAACCTGACACTTCGAATTCCGAAAGGTTTCCTAGAATTATGGACCCCGTCGTGTGAGGTTAGGAAGGATCGATGTCGATCGACTTAGGCCGTTCTCTTTTGACTGCGACGGATCGTCAAACTCGTGTCGAGAGAAAGTCTGGCTGCCTGGAGCGACTAGGTCTCCCCTTTTTTTGGCTCTCCAGGATTCAGACTCGATACGAGCCTTCGATCAGACGCGACGTTTAACACGCGAGATGAACATCAACGATGCTTGGCCAAGTACAGGAAGAAACGGCGAGTTTTTGCCAATTTTTCTTATTTATTGTACCTTTGTTCTGCTTTCTTTTTCTGTAGGGGATTCCTCCGGAGAATCGCGAGCGTGATTCGACGCCACGGATAAAGAGCGCGTCGAATTGAGAGATGAAGAGAAAAGGAAGAGAAAAGGAGAGAGAATTGGAGAAACCGATAATTTCCATTCACCGATTCTCGCGCGCGGAAAACACCTGCCGAATGCAAGCCGAACGAATGCAATTAACCTTCGATTAAAGTTGTCGATATCCGGTGGAACGAATGTTATAAAGAGACTGAACCATCCACGTGAATGAAACGAGAGTTACGTTTCCCGGTAGTTTTTGAAACAAGTTGCAATTATTAAGTTGTATAAATAGATTAACGAAGTTTCGATAGCTCTGTGAGTATTGGGGCTTGTTTAATTTTGTAGATAAAATGATTTGTTTTTTGTTTGGTTGTTTGGTAAGTTTGTAGTAGGTAGAAATCTGAAGAAAATGGAAGGTGAGATATTTTTATTATATATAATTGGGATTGTAGTGAGGTTTTGTCATTCGTCGGATCAATTTTTCGAGGAATTACATGCCCTTGAAAAAGTTTATGAATCGAAATGATTTGAATAAAGTTGAAATCCAGCATTGTTTTGTTGGCTGATCTCAGATTTAATTGTTGTATTCAATATCCGTATTTATGATTTGGATAGAGTTGAAACTTGAAGTGAAATTCAACAGCTGTCTGAAATCTAATTCTTGTTCAAAAGTAACAAGAATGATCTCAAACGTTTTCTCATTACTACATTCAATGTTTTACTATATTTACCTGAATTGCAGTATTTCATTGATTCACAAT